CACTGCTTTAACCTAATTCTAGCTTTTCAGTGCGTGACAAGCTACCCTGAAAAATTTATATAGCAACGAGGTGAGCATAAAGAGCTCAGCAAGCATCTAACATATCCATGACGATAGGAGAAGTTCAAGCAGGCTTAGTATCAAGATACAAAAGTAGAAATATAAGTGTTCATTTGAAATCATCTCATTTGATATAAAATCACAAAGGTTTACCTCATTCAAAAACAAGCATTAGACATGACAATAGGAGAAAGGAAATTAGAGCATTTCATTGGCAAAAAATATATTTAGGCATGTATCAAATGGCACATGAAGCATTTAGGCGCATATCAAAGGCGTAAGAGTGTTTGGGGGCATGATAATGACAAACGAAACACTTCAAAGTATAACAAGTGAACCGAATAATAAACACAAGCTTGTATGACATTTTTGATGTAGCATGCATTCCATTTTTATCTAAAGCATAATATGAACTCATAAACAAAGCTTTGGATATCATATCAATAAACATAGAGGGTGCTGTGGGACCACATACATAATGTGATTCATCCATTTTTGGATGACCACCAAGCATAAGTCTCCCACGTCTGGGAGCTCCATCCACCCACGTCTAAGTGAAGTCAATGGGGCCGGCAGAGCAATCGCGAGCTCTAAGCATAACTCCCTTTACCATTTCTGGCAAAGGTTCACAATATCCCACAAGACACCATAGTACAAAAGGGTAATATGAACAATAACATTAACACATATCAGAAGCACATGCGGAACAACGAAGATATGCATGTGCCTTTATCAAAAAAGGAAATGCAAACAAAGCATTACATAATAAATTTCAGTTATATAATAATTTCAGGATGAACAATACAAGAACTTCAAAGGACTAATATAAAGCTCAATTGAAGAAGAATTTAGCAGAAATCATATTTCCAATAGGATGAAAATTGAATAGGCAAACCCAACAAAGTTTTCAATTATGACAGAATTTGAATGGTATATTTTCTGAATTGTTTGAGTGACCAAATATGCTCCAAATCACTAAAAATAGGTGTCATTGGAAAGCTGTATCAATCTATATTCCGATGAACTCAGATTTATAATTTTTTGAGTTCTTGAAAGGAAGTTACAACAAATAGAGTAAAGGAAGGTCAGAATTGATCATCCCTGTTTTGCAGACTTGATAGAATCAATTTAAACAGATGTTTAAAAAGGCAAACATACTTCAAAATTTCCAACTTGGTGTCAAAAGAAAGATATGCGAATCTAGTTTCCAAAGAACTAAGCTTTGTATAATTCAGAATTTTCTCTAGAGAGTTATGAGCAATTTAGTAACAGAAGGTCAGAAATTTCAGTCCCTGTTTTGCAGAATCTGTAGGGTTAATTGAAATAGAAATCTTAGTAGGCATTTAAACTCCAAATCATTCAGTCTTAGTATCAAAATAACGATATTTGAGTCTACTTTCAAATGGATTAGGTTTTTCCTAAATCAGAGTTTAGTGCTAAAAGTTAGATCCAAAATAATGTATAGAAGTCAGATTACCGAAAAAATTTCAGATTCATGGCTTTGTATAAAAAGGAAAGAACGGTTTGGTACTAAGCTGAAATCTTTTGAATTATGAAGAATTAAAAGGAAAACAGAGATTAGGAATTCTGTAGGAAGAGGTTAGAACACTTGCCTTAGATGAGTTTGATTCCCAAATATAGGGAGTTGATGCAAAACCTCAAAAAAAGTTTCCTCTTCTTCTTCTTCTTCTTTTCTTTTCTCTTCTTCTTCTTCTTCTTTTCTCTTCGTCTTCTTCTCCTCAAACTAACGTCGGCTGGAAACTTTCTTTTTAATGGTGCCTTAAATTACATAGGTTTGGCTCATATTAAAATAGTGAGGTGGCAAGCATGCATTGGGGTTTAGGTGTCAACTTTAGAATAAATGCTAAGTGGCTTATCCTTGTTCATGACACATGTCCTCCATTTTATTTTATTTTTATTTACTCAATTCTGAATATTCTATAAATCATCTCAAACATTTAATATTTACTCTTAGGTCCTTAGCCATAAACTTTAGTATAATATTATTTAATAAAAAAATTATTAAATAATCCTTATTTTTACAAACAAATATTTTACTAAATTTTCAAAAATGGGGGATGTCACAGGTTTAGGAGACAACCATTACAAGTCTTACTCCTCTTTCTTGGATGAAGGCTAAAAGATGAAGGAGGAGAACTCTTCAATTTTATAATACTTTTAAGACTAAAGAACTCAAGATTATGCTAATAGCTTTTGTGCCCTTTCATGCAGAAAAGGGTGGGGTTTTTATAAGCTCCAATGATTTCAAAATTGGAGCCAAAAAGTGTCTCATCCTGAATTTCTGGGGTACTGGTGGTACCACCGCCATTACTGGGCAGTACCACCGCTTGACACCTGACATTGGGCGGTATCATCGCTCAATCTGAGCAGTACCACCGCTTGACAGAACTTGGAGACTTAGCTCTAGCGGTACCACCACCTGACAGGAGCGATACCACTGCTCAGTCTGGGTGGTACCACCGCCCAGAAATCCTGGGGCACTACTTTCCAAGCGGTGCCACCGCCGGCCATGTTTTCAGGGGCCGAATTGGTTGCTCAATTTAGCCCAATTCAGCCCTGTTAAGGGCCCAGTTGGCCCCTAATTAAGTAAGTGGTATTACCTCTCAATCGTAACTTAATTTATGCTCTAACTATAATAATTAAGATATAATTACAGCACTTCTTGTTCCGGTGCGTCAATTACTCCTCCGGCGAGCTTCCGACGTACTTCCGGCGAACATCCGACAAATTCTCAGTAATGTTCCAACGGACTCCCAACAAGCTCTTGGACTTTACGACGGTCTTCTTAGCGAGTTTCGATGAGCTTTTTTGGTAAGCTCCTAGACTTCTCGGTTGGTTCCGGCAGAACTTCCGACAAACATCCGAACTTCGATTGAACACTCGAACTCCCAATGAGATCTCGATCTTGACCTTGATACAATACCTGCTTTATGTCTTACTGCTATCATAATTAATCATAGATACTTTTATCAACGTATAGATTAGATCAAACAAATTACAATTGATTTTATTATCAAAATCCGAGATTCAACAATATCGACTAATAATATAAGAAATGTTTCATCACCATAAAAGAATTCATCCATAAGGTGATGTGTAAGCTGATCCTGCTTGACATATGTCAAGTCATCATTAGGAGCCTCTACTTATAGAATTAAGATGTTTACTTTTGTCAATCCTAAAAATATCAAATCCAAAAGGAAGAAAGGAAGTTTCTATCACTCAAGATCCAATTGGTTCTATAAAAGACTTGACATTAGCCGACCAAACAAAAAGGATAGTGCAAGGCTTGCTGAAAGCTCGTGACTCTTACTTTGGCAATATGCAAAGAACTAAAATATACCTTTTAACACTAGAGAAGAGATAGAGAAATAAAAAAGGAACAATAGCAAGTTTGAAGTACCAAGAAGTCCAACAAAGCCCACAAGTTAATAGGTTGACAGCAAAAGAGAACCCTCATCAAAACGGCATGATAATACCGATCACATTGACAAACCAAAGCAAAACCTGGAAAGAAAAGAAGTCTCAAAGCAAGATTTAATGGGATGTGAACCTCCCTAACTTGGAGAATCATGATTAGGGATGATCTAGAAGAGTTTGAGCCAAATTCTAATTTGGCCAAATTAGAGTTTCACTAGGACTCCACTTCTATCCTAATCAAACTAAATTAGAATCAAACTAGAATCTCGAGCTCAAAGATCATATTCAAGTCAACTTTAAACATTAAATACATTAGGACTCTCCAAATTCTAAAGACATTAAGACTCTCTAAGTCTTAATGCAGCTATGACCTCACCTCATTCCTCAACTATAAAAAGAGGAAAGCCTCATCTAAAACACTGCAAAGTAATCAAAGTCGTAACCCCCTCTTAGCCAATCTTAAGCTGAGAGGAGAAGAAAGAAGAGAAGAATAGAGGAGAGTCCTATCTAAGGTATTGGGTCAATATATCGTTGAACCCGAATCTCGAAGTGGATCATTCACCTTTATATACTATGATACAAAAGACGATTTTTAGGTAGATTGAACTGCGCTGTCACATATTCTAACGTCATCTATGTTTACACCCTTGAATGCAATGTATCATTTGATTATACACTTGATGTGATGAATCATTTGAACCTTTTTGATTTCCTTATCAAGGAATAAAAGGATCCTTGAGAAAGGCAATGGACCTTACTATAACACCACCTCCTATATGGTGGAATGCGGTGTGTTGTTAGCTGGCGTCCAAAAAATTGAATCAAACTTCTTTCCTGAATATCTTGGATGCCCAAAGAAAAGAATTGAATTGCACAAAGCGAAGAATGGATTTCCTGAATATCTTTGATGCCAAGGCATAACATCTATAATTTCTTAGTTTTTACTTTCTCTCGTCTCGGACACCTTACTGGTCAGAGAATTAATGCAAAATTAATGTGGTAGATTTCAAACACATACATAGGGAGCTTAACTTTGTGTTCGGCTTGCTCCTCCCTAGGTTCTTCTTCCTTATTTTTATTTTTCGTATGTCAAATAATTTTTTTAATCTAACACTTAATTAAATAGACTTTCCCTTTCAGTTTAAAGAAAAATCTAAATATTTGGAGTGACATACATGATATGCTAAAATTTATACAGAAATCTTCAAATTTTGAAAGTACATAAATATGTCAAACCCTATTTTTAATTAGACAAATATTATGAGATATTTTAGTCCAATTAGCCTTCCACATTGAGCTAGAGAGGTTTTATAGGACAGTAGAGTAATCATGTTAGCCAATCTATCTTATCGGAGAGTGACGATTGATTATTATGCCAAAGAAAGTTGCAAGTACCTTACAAATTTATATTATTATCAATGACATAAAATGACACAAAAATATCAAATAAGATTTTAAACATTCAATCTTTGGTAAATTAATCTGGTACATCACCACCATAGTAAATATGTTTTTTTTGTTTTTTAATGATTTTTAATACACTATTACCGTCTCAGTCCAACAAAATGTCTCCCAACTGAGGCACCTGACAACAGAAAGAAAACATTACGACAATACCTGACTTGACTACCTCTAGAAGCAATAAACTCACAAAAGAGAGTTCCTTGTCTGTAATAAAGAAAAAAAATAAAACAATAATTAACAAAATATCTTGAAAGACCAAATTCCTTCTCTTTGACTGACCAACGTCACCATTAACTAGTGGCAGAATCTTTGATCTTGAGGTGGTACAAGTCTCCATGCGAGATGCATGACATCAACATTTATGTAAGGGTGCAGATCCCACATCAGACGGTAGCTTTCTAGTTCTGGTGAGGATGTTTTAAGGTTGAGAGCCCGAACAATGTTTTTCTGCAACAATTCCAGCTGTCAGATAAGAATGTCTTAAGTATAACAAATATTACAAACATGTGGATCCATTTACCTGCATATCACAGTCAAGCTTCAGCATGTGACTGATGACCCTCATTATAATGACCTGTGATATTGTTTCCTCCTAGTAAAGTAACAAAGCACAAAACATAATTTTTCTGGCCAAGTATATGGAAGCAAATGCACAAAGCAAAAAATGTTAATTTCATGGGAATATAATAAAAATTATTAATTTGAACACTTGATTACCTTTTTTTTACATCTCTCCTTGGGTTACATGTGATGTCCCACATCACTAGTATAAGGACTTTATTTTCCCTTCATTTTATGATTATACAATTTAAAGATCTCAACAGTGAAAATGATTTCGTTCTCCTTGAAAATACCTTTTCTAAGCACTAGGAGGAGGGAACTCAAAGTTTTGGCAAAGTTTACTTAGTTTTTTTCTCAAGAATTCGTGCTCCTTTCTTATTGCCCAAGTGGGGTATTCATAGGCCTCAAATGGTTTAAAAAATAGAGTCAAAAATTCAAATTTTCGGCTATTCCATGTACAGGCGGTACCACCGCCTACAACCTGACACTGTGTCACGGACTTAGCTAGTTTTGCCTAAGTCGTGCAACACCTTTGCGTGTCCGTCCGCAAAGGTCAGCCTCCCCGAAACCTCCTATGATCCCTTAGGACCTACAAAAGAAAAAACGGGTTAGAGAAAACGCCTCACTCGGGATCCACAAGCAATCATTTCAGGAAACACTTCATAACCAATGCAAATTACAAAAAAACTTCAAAGGATCCAAAATGGTCCACTACAGACCGAAATCTTCCACAAGTGTCCACATGACACAACCTTAATTTACAAGCCTAAAATGGCCACCAAACTCAACTAACTTGGGATTGTTAAGCATTCGATCGTCCCTCTACATGTTGTGTAAAGCATGAACAAACCAAAAGACATGGACATACATGAGCATTACATGAAACACCCTGTTTACAGTTTTGTCTGTGACATTCTCCCCCACTAATTCCTTCGACGTCCTCGTCGAAGCCTTTGTCGACACTACAACTCCCTGCCTTTGTTGAGTCTTCAATCTTCTGCTCCAATTGCAATGCGCCTCTTGGGTCCCAGTTGCTCTCCGTTGCTGTTGTTGAATAGTCAAACTTTTGATCCGCCATGCTATTTCAACTCTCCAATGACTCTGAATCTAATGTGGGGTTGGTTGAGTTGTGTTGATCCCTATTAGTTCCTGCGGATCCTTCAGATGAAGGAAAAGACCATCTTACTATGCGTTAGTCTCTCAAATGTCTCATGCTGCTTGAATTGGGAGGATGCTTGTTGGAGTTTTAACGAGCATCGCCTCACAAACTTTTGAAGTTTTGGGTTCTTCCTTCACAAAATTTACCCATCGACTCTTCTTTTACTTAGTTGTCACTTCTAAGTAGATTTGCATCACTTCCGCTTTCGATTGACATTCTGTTGGGAAATGAAGCGGATAATCTACTCTCAGTAGCACTGATCTCCATTGGTGAGGATTTGACAACTATTGTCTTCTATTTGGTTTCTTTAAACATGTGTAGAGCTCCTCTGTTGGATAGATCAGAGAATTTGGGTACTCAGTTTCGCCCATTCTCTTAAGAGTTGAGAAGGCAAAGTTTACTTGACTTCGCCCACCTCCTCGAGTGTTGTACTTCATTCATCGAGCTGGTTACTAGCCTTCGCTTGCTTTTTGCTCATACTTCTGAAGCACTTGAAGTGTTTGCACTCCTTGCGTTGGATTAGTTACTGTGATTCACCTTCCCAATGTCATCGAACTTCTAGAATGCAAGAAGTTCTCACCCCAACTTGGAGTAAGTCTCTAATAGTTTTGATCGTCTTTGGAATTGTACTGTCTTCTTCATCAACCCCACCGCCTACTCCACTGAGTAGCAAAGGTACAGCACTGCGTATGACCTACTTCGTTCCTTGGTCGTGCACTCTTGCATCGGCCTGAAGTCCTTCACTTTCGGCTATCTTGATGAGAAGCTCATTGACACTTCAACCTTATCTCGATACTTAGAGTTTGCCTCTGTATTCTCCACCTCCTTGGCCCCTTTCACGACCAAGCGCTCTCCCACCCATGAGAGTAAGGGATCGATGACTTCACGGAAGTCCCGCCTCTGCGGTACTAATCGTCGCTTTCTCGCCCCTTTCGACCCCCTGCTTCAATACCTCTATATCCTCCATGCAGTTCCCCCTTGGTTGATGGAAAGACAGACTACAACTCTCATGCATGGCCTCTGCCATCATATTGTAGGGTTCGCACTGATTCTGTTCTCCTTAGCTTCCTTGATAGCAACATTCGCTTACTCGACCATGTCCTCTAACTTGTCCGGCTCCCTTAAGCGAATATAAGCTTTAGAGCAGTCCAACTCTCCAATCGCTCTGATCATACCTTTGCATGATCAAGTCCCTCCCATGGGACACACTGGTACTTGCATTCGAACTTTTCTCTCGGTGGTACACAGCCCCCATAAGCTGATGACCAAGGCTTTCATTCGATGCACGCATGGAAGACCCACCTTTGCGATACCATGGCTTTCACTTCTTGAATCCATAGCCTTTCTTGTCGTCGTGTTGTTCACCGAAGTGGAGCTCCCGATCATATACCTCCGTATGATATAGTCCCTCACGGGACTAGATTCGTGTGTAATGCATTGCCACGAACTATTCCACCACAATCTGCTGCACTATGTCGTCTCTTAGTGATGTCTACATTGCATTCTGATCCTTGTGGGATGAACTCGGATTATGAACCCTCTATATGCGATCTCTGCCAACACATAGCAGGGCCTCTTTCACCTTCAATTGTGTTCGCTCCTTTGGCAATCGACCTTCATCCACTCGCTCTCGGGTTTACCCAGACGAAGCACCACTCTAGGACAGTCTGTCGCCTAGTAGCTCTCGAAGTACATCGACTTCGCTGAAATTGGTGCATCATTGTTTGGATCCTGGGCCTCTACCCCTACCAGCATAATCTTCGCTATGCACCACTCCCTTCATGGCAACTTGAATGGCAACAGTATCGCATATTCTTCAATAGTACCCGCCTTCACATCCTCTTGCCCCGTGCCAAGGTCTTCTAAACCAAACTTCGTCTCCGTAAGTTGAGTCGTCTCAGTTCCTCTATCAAATGCTTCTTTGAGGTAAGATGCATGTGCCTCGAAGCTACCATCGTCTTTTGCACCATGCAGGATGAGCCCGCTCCATCAGAATGAGGGACCCATGGAACGACATGATCCCGCTCTTTCCGCTGCAAGAGTTCATGTTCTTTATCTCTGTCCAAGGAAAACTCTATGCCTCCACTCCATATTTCATCTTCTATGTCGACTACCTTTATGCGGCTTGGGTACTTCGCCAAGTTACACCCAAGTTGCTCTACTCCTCGATTTGTATTGAGTTGATGATGGTCCTCACGCCCACCATTCCACGGGTCAGCCCTCCATTAAGTCTGATCTTCATATCGACTCTACATGTACCTTTATCTTGTGTTACCTTGGGTCACTCCCCCACTTGATCTCGTAATGCATTATCTCAAGCAAGATCATACGACGACTCTTCATCGCTCGCTCGGTCCGTTGAGCTTTGTGAAGTTGTTTTGAGGTACTCAACATGTGCAGTCCGTCGCACATGGTTCTCCCTCTGGAGAGCCAGGACTTATCCCTCCTGGATATCTATCCCGTTGGAGCAACTTCTCTCTTTGCTTCCATCTCTATGAAAGTTTCAAAGACCACCATCCCCTTCGATTACTCCTCCTTGCTGAACAAACTGTGCATTGTTCTGCCTCCCACAAACGCACTTGCTAGATTGTAACTTCACGTCAATACAGCCCCCCGCTGCACCTCTCAAGGCCTAGCAACATGCTGAACTCACTGCACACTTCAGCCTCCTACGGACGTATCCTTCTCATGCTGAAGAGAAAGTTTCAATGCTCCATGGCATCGAGTTTCAGTCGCCTTGGGATGGCTACAAACATTCCATCATTCGCATACAAGCCCTTGCATGAGTACCAAATTCTTCGAGTTAACAATTCCCCTCACCTCTGTGAGCTTTGCACAACTCTTTCGGTCGCTAAACAACCCATTCCACCTTATATGGTCTCATCCTTTACCAAGTGTCTCGCTTGCCTTGAGCACCATCAAGTATGGTTGCCAACGTTGAGCTGTAGCTCAAACTCAGCCATCCCAACCTTTGTGCGTTATGCATTCTTCCCAGCTTGCCTGTCCTCATGGTGCCTTTTGCGCGAAGGGTTAGCCATTCCTCTGAATGCCAATCTCAGATGCTTGCTCCTCTAAGCGACTTTTTCCCTACATTTTCATGCTCGTTTTCCCCCCCAAACGGTCGCACGTGCCTGGCTGCCCTCAACGCAACCCTGTTAGGTCCCCCACATTTGCATGCCAACTGTTTCTATGAGTGCTTGTCCCGCTCTGATACCATCTGTCATTAACTTAGCTGGTTTTGCTTAAGTCTTGCAACACCCTTACATGTCCGTCCAGAAAGGTCAACCTCCCCGAACCTCCTATGGTCCCTCAGGACCTACAAAAGAGAAAATTGGTTAGAGAAAGCGCCTCACTTGGGATCCACAAGCAATTATTTCAAGAAACACTTCATAACCAATGCAAATTACAAAAAGACTTCACAAGCTCTGAACGGTCGCACAATAAAGGATCTAAAATAGTCCACTACAGACCGAGATCTCCCACAAGTGTCCATATGACAACCTTTATTTACAAGCCTAAAATGGCCACCAAACCCAACTAACTTGGGGCTGTTAAGCCTTCAACCGTCCCTCTACATGTTGTGTAAAACATGAACAAACCAAAAAACACGGACATATATGAGCATTACATTAAACACCTTATTTATAGTTTTATCCGTGACAACTAGGTGATACCACCGCCTAGTCTAGTGGTACCATCGCCTGACAGTCTCGGAGATCGAGTTTTTTTAGTTTTCCAACTCATAAGCGGTTCCACCGCTTGTTTTGGCGATGCCATCGCCTGTTCTGACTGTTCTAACGGTGCCACTGCTTGACCCAACTTTTGGGTCATTGAATGAGCCTCCCAATGAGCTCAAATCGATCCCAATTAAGGCTCAATTGGCCCCCTAATTGAGTTAGCATAATTATACCAAAAGCTAACTCAATTAACCCCCTAAACTACTTCGATTTTAAACAAATGATTATAAAGCATGAATTATTTGTCCGGCATGTCATTGGTTCATTTGGCACTTCGTCCGATCCTTCGACGCATTGTCCTCTCCTTCAGCGTATTGCCCAATCGGCATGTTGACTCTCATAACTTCCGATCTTCTTGGTGCAATGTCCGATCCTTTGGTCTGATACCCAAATTCACGACATGAAACCTACTGCTGACAAATCGACCGATCCTTTGGCCCGACGTCCAATCTTTTGACATGTTCACTTTGGCCCAACATTTGATTCCTCTTGCTTAAATTAATTTTCCTCTCCTTGATCGAAACTGGTCCTACATCACTCAAAATACAAATTAGATCATAAACTTATTAATTGATTTCATCATCAAAATCCGAAATTCAACATGATATTTCGAGTACAAATACCTTGAAGCTTATACATATGTACCAACAAAAGTTAAAACAAATAATAAATGTACAAAATTTTGTTACCTAATAACCTTATAATCAGAGAATCCAATTTTGCCCGATTCAATTCATACCAACCGGTCTACAAGTGCGAGCCCAAAGTAAGACGTGGACTGCCACCATTTCAGGCAATTCCATCCCGTTTTTCTTTTTTTTTTTTTTTTTCTTCCTAACATGCGGCCGAGTTTCTTTATTTTAACATGATTAAACCAAACCTGACCAGCCCTTTTCAGGGCTTGCGAAGAGTCATGAACCCTAGATGTCATGCAGTGTTCTCCCTCTCTGCACTATCACATGGTCCACTGTCCACAGTCTACCTCCCATTGTCCGTGGCTACTGCCTCATCTAGGTATTTCCATCTCTCCTTCTCTTCTTTCTTCGCCCTTGTTCCTCTTCCTTCTCCCTTCTTCATTCTTCTCCATTCTTCTTCCTTCCTCGTCCTTGCCTCCTTCCTGTTTTCTCCCCCCCTCCCCGGGCAGAAACAGTACCTTGGTACATGCCAGCATACCATGTGTTGGTATGTTGGCATTAACGGGACCCATACCGGTTTGGCCATTGATCAATAAGTGACCTGGGTACAAAATTACAAACTTCGTTTCTAATCATTATTAGTCCAAAAGAAAAGTAGACAATAGTCATCATCTTCATAATCTTCATCCAAGGTAACCTTCTAAAAATTAATTAAGAGAAAACTACTTAGCAAGATATCAAGTAACCAGTCTACCTCGAAAGAAAGAACCAGACACAGCATTTCTTCACTAGGAGTGTCATCCAACAGAGCTGAAATATTTTGATTTGCAGCTTGTGTGACACCATTGGCGTCTTCCATTAGGCAAACAAGTTCATGGAGCAAAGTTTCTACTGCAACAGTGAGTGTTTAAGAAAAAATGAGTCTAAAAATATCCATCATTGTTAAATTAATAGAAAAATAACTCAAAAATATGCTTAAAAATAGATAAACTAAAATAGATCAAATAGATAAAGTTGAGATCCTGGTTCAGTAGCAAATCTAGAAAATTTTAGTATGAAAATAAGATTATGCTTAAAAATGTTATGTTATAGGGATCATATTTGTGGTACATACACAGATTTTATATAATAACGGGACAAGGAATCACCTTTCTTCAAATGGTCTTGAAGCCCCTGTACGCAAATATGCACTGTTGTGAAAATTTTCATGGAAAAATAAGAAGAGAAGAAATTGCAATTGATAAAGAACTTCATAAAATCTAGATAAAAAGAAAACAGCATCAATTTTCAAACTAAATGCAAATTTATTTTTACAGAAACTCCACCATGTCTTCCATAGCCTTGTTATAAATCAATCCCTGACAATCAAGAGGCCCTTCAGTTTCAAAGGTCTCCATAGCAATGGAGAACAAGACCCTTGCACTCACGCTAGGATGTTAATCATCCAATGGAGTTATTAGTCATACATGCAGCACTCCTTGTGCAACACATTCATCAATACATAACCTTGTGAACCCATTCAAAGTTACAGCGAGTCTTTGCAGTTTAAGTAGGTTTAGATACAGCAAAAAAATTGGTCAGTCCTGGGATTTACCCCTCTAAGACAACTAAGAGATTCTTATATTACACCAGAACACATAAGTTCTTAACACAAGCAGATTCAATAAAACAAGTTATGGTCTTGAGTCTCTTGACAACATCATAATGACACAGTATTAGAAATCTCAAAGCCCTGAATCCATTCCACCTAAAATCACTCAAAAAAATATCTGACATACAAATTTCAAAATTTATAAATGCACTGCAAGGGATGTGAAATTATGAGCACAAGTAGAAAAGAAAAAAAGATCAAACAAGGGCAATTAAACATTTACTATAAAAGAAGTATGACAAGAGACCATCCATACCCTAGGAAGTCATGTCAGAAGACATCCAGCAAGCAACAAAAGAACTCAGGTACCTTGACAGCAGGATCGAAGGAGAGAGAGGTGCCGAATGCCAAAAATTCAAGAATGCTAACTATATCTTAATTACTTGAAGATAACTTTAACAAAAGTGATTCATTTTAAATGTTAGAGAGAACAGTGAGATTATACTTATTTCAGATTCCCAAAAGATTGCATAAAGATGGTGAAAGTTTGCATAATGCCTTGACCATAGCATAAAGACTATAGTCAAGACACTTGACCAGAGGCATAAAGGTGGACAGAAACACGCAAGAAACTAAACTACATGTTAAGGTCATAGTAATGCCTTGATTCTCAAGATGGTGAAAGATTATCTTTCAAAAGGTAGATTTCAGCTATTAAGGTATCAGATAAAAGGGAAACGAAATCAAATGTGGCCATGTACTCAACTTGTATTTGAGGTTCAACTTGAACACTTGCACAAGCATGGATAACAAGAAGATTAAAATGATCTTCTAAAGATATACTACATATGATCTTTCACCAAGGGTTTATCAAAGAAAATAACTTTTTGGTGACCTACGACAACTTATACGGATAAGGTTCAAGATTAGATATAGAAAGAAAATAAAAGAACGAATGGGAGGAATCACCGAAAACCAGTTTGACTTATAGGAAAATAATTTAGAAAAAAATACAATTAAAGTATGTTCAATAAGTATCAGATCCCCTTGTCACCAATGGTTCTGTCGCTCTGGTAACACCATATACTTAGCAATTTGAGTCTCAATGATTTGTGAAGGCAAAAAGAAAGTTATAAGGAAGCAAATTTATTGTATGGGCTTTATGACCTGTTATAATGGTGAAAGAGAAACGATACGATGGTCGAAGTGGAGAAGCTAGGAATCAAATAATATATTGGATCTACTCAAAATCCATCAAATTTGCCTCAGAGAAAAAAAAAAAGACACGGTCACACATTACTCACACATATTGCGAGAACAAAGAGTTTAAATCATTCAATCTACAATAACCCAGATTACAACCCTCGTCTCTTTTTTACAGGCATCCTAGATATAAGAAAAATACATAATAATAATGAAAATTACAATAAAAAATTATATCCCTTATATCAAGATTCATCCATCTAATTTCTTTTTTTAGAGAAGATTAATTTTCAATTTTGTTTTGGTAAATAATCTTCTTATTTTACAGAATATTCAATTGATATATAGACTTTATTTTTGCAAATTCATTAATGATTATGGGACAATTCTTTCAATTAAACCCCAAAAAATTCAATTGTCCAAAATTTTTCTTTCTTTTTTTGGCTTCCTCTTCTCTTTATCCCTGAAAATCTAGATAAATAAAGTAAGGACATAGAAGATGTTGCTCTATAGCAAACTATATAATTAGCAAAATCAGCTATTAAAATTTATGAAAAAGGTAAAGATTGAAAAAAAGGTTCAACCAACCTAAATAAAAGTTCAATTCAAAGGAATCTAATTGCCTTGATTTTTATCATTTTTTCCTCTATGGTGATCAGTATGAGGTTTGGGTTAGACGAACCGTCGACTCGATATCACCTTTTAAATGAAAGTTTTGACAAATGAGAGAACTATCACTAAGAAACAAACATAAAACCAAAAGAAAACAACATCTATTGCTTATAAAGCTAAAGTGCCAACTACAATACTTAATGTAATGAAATAAAAGTGTGATAAAAGACTTATAAATGTGTAAGAACGTAGGTTGTCTTTGGACAGCACCTGGGCACTCTCGATAGTTTGTGTATTGCTATCGGTTTCCGCTATTGGAACCTCCTCCTAAGGTTTGGACAGCAGGCAACAGGCTTTGAGGCTTCTCATAGCAGCTGGGCGGAGCTTGATGCAAAGCCTTGACTATTGAAATGCGAAGAAAAAGGCTATGGTTGGAAGGACTGGCTATACCTTGCCAAATTCCTCCTCTCTCTCTTCTCCTCTCTTCTCTTCTCTCTTCTAAGACTGGAAAAACTAGGGCCAACTAGGCACTTGCTAGAGGATTCTTGGTTTCCCTTGGGATGCCTTAGATGGGTCTCTCCTCCTCCTTCTATAGCTGAGGAAGAGGTGGAGTCCTAACTAGGTTAGGACTTAAGAGAATCCTAAAACAATTAGGACTTAGAGAGTCTTAATGCCATATGTCTTGGAAAGTCCTAGTGCCTTTAGGACTTGTTTTAGGGCTCATGCATGGGATTCCTACTCCTATTAGGAGTTGGCACCAACCTCTCCTTGTGGATGCCCCTATTTGGGTGAGGGCAGTCCTAATCCTAGTCCTAGTAGTATTTGGATTGGGGTAAGTGGACTGCTGTGAAAAGGGCTTTGCTTGGCTAGATAGGGTTTTGAGGCTTCAAAAAGCCCTTCAATAAAGGTTAAACAATTCTGTTGTGTGTTGTTGAGATTGTCCCTGATCATATGGAAAGCATTTATTCTCAACGAGTGGATACTAAAGAAGTGTTCAAAGAGTTCAGGCTGATTCACTATAATTCCTTCTTGGTAGTCCAAGTGCAGTTTGAATATGGTCACACTTTCAACTTGATAAGAATTTTGTTATACCCAACAATCTATTGTCTGTCTTCTCCTTGAAAGGTTTCGTAAAGATGGGGAAGCAATAGGTTACAGAGGTGAAGGGGCAAAATAAGGTACCAGGGAAGTTAGTTGAAACCTTATCTTACAGTTTTGATTACATGTTAAGTTCTCTGTGTTGATAACATGACCAATGCCAAAATTTGGCAGAATATTAAGTTCATGCATTATATTTGTTTCTTTCTTGTGGACCTATAAGAACCAAAACTTTTGGCATGGGACTCCTCACGAAGATTTCTTGGGTTGAATTTATATCACTTTAACTGAAAATGAACATCTACAAGAAACTTTAATTTCCTTGATGAAATTTTGTTATGAATTTTAGTGTGCAGCACAATCTCTGCTGCGCACTACTCCCTACATGGCAACTTGAATGGCAACACTGTGGCATATTCTTCAAAAGTACCCACCTCTACGTCCTCTTGCCCCGTGTCAAGGCTTTCTGATGAACCCAACTTCGCCTCCGCAAGTTGAGTCGCCTCAGTTCCTCCGTCAAATGCTTCTCTAAGGTAAGGTGCATGCGCCTCGAGGCTCCCTTCGACTTTGGCACCATGCAGGATGAGCTCGCTCCATCAGAATGAGGGACCCATGGAACGACATGAACCCGCTCTTGCCTCTGCAAGAGTTCATGTCCTTAATCTCTGTCCAAGGAAAACTCCGTGCCTCCGCTCCATATTCCATCTTCTATGTCAGCTACCTTTATGCGGCTTGAGTACTTCGCCAAGTTACACCCAAGTTGCTCTGCTCCTCGTTTTGCATTGAGTTAATGGTGGCCCTCGCGCCCACCATTCCACGGGTCAGCCCTTCGTTGAGCATGATCTCCATATCGACTCTAAGTGTGTCTTCATTTGTGTTGCCTTGGATCGTTCCCCCACTTGATCTCTCAATGCATTCCTCAATGCATTATCTAAAGTGAGATCATGCGATGACTCCTCGCCGCTCGCTCGATCCGTTGAGCTTTGTGAAGTTATTTTTGAGATACTCCTCAACATGTGCGGTCCGTTGCACATGGTTCTCCCTCTGGAGAGTCGGGACTTATCCCTCCTGGATATCTATCCCATTGGAGCAACTTCTCTCTTCGCTTCCATCTCTCTGAAAGTTTTGGAGACCACCATCCCCTTAGACTACTCCGCACTGCTGAACAAATTGTGTATTGTTCTGCCTCCCACAAACACACTTGCTAGATTGCGACTCCACGTCAATACAGTACCCACTGCGCCCCTCAAGGCCTAGTAGCATGTTGAACTCGCTGCACACTTCAACCTCCTACAGACGTATCCTTTTCATGCTGAAGAGAAAGTTTCAATGCTTCATGGCACCGAGTTTCGATCGCCTTGGGATGGCCACGAACACTCCATCGTTCGCATACAAGCCTTTGCATGAGTACCGAATTCTTCGAGTTAGCAATTTCCCTCACCTCTATGAGCTTTGCACAACTCTTTCGGTCGCTGAACAACTCATTCCACCTTACATGGGCTCATCCTTTATCAAGCGCCTCACTTGCCTTGAGCACCATCAAGTATGGTTGCAAACTCAGCCATCCCAACCTTTGTGCGCTAGGTATTCTTCCCAGCTTGCTTGTCCTCGTAATGCCTCTTGCGCGAAGGGTTGGCCATTCCTCTAAATGTCAATCTCAGATGTCTACTCCTCTAAGCGACTCAT